TAAGCTGTGGAGTCTTGTGAGCAAAATTTCTACTTTGTGAGCCACTGGCATTAAAGCTGTGAGCGAGTGATTTGGCTACTGCATCAGTTAGTTTGCCTCTGGAGCCCTCCTTCCTGAGTGAAGAGAAAAATATGTGAGCCAGAGGCTTAAAAGCTGTGAGCTAGCTCACACTAACTCAGCTTAGAGGGAACACTCCTGGTAACTGGAATGTGAATAGCTACATATTTTGTACTTCATCTATTACCAAACAGCTTTCCTTTTTGGCACTCTGGTACTAGGTCTTCACTGATGTGCTTGTTGTTGCTTTTCTCTCAACAAACCAGTTACTGAAAATAGATAAAATTGTGTTGAACTTCTATCCTTTTTACCTGACATGGGTGGTTTGCTTGTTTCCCCCCACATGTGCCATCAGATAGGCTCGCCAGCTCTGAGTTGGCAATACCTTGGAGATTTTGGGGGTGGAGCCTGAGTGGTGGGTTTAGATTCAGAGGAATTAGCTGTGTTAGTCTGTTGCTGCAAAATAGTCCAAGAGTTCAAATAGCACCTTTAAGACTAACAAATAGCACCTTTAAGACTAACCTTTAAGACTAAGACTAACTGAGTGGTGGGTGTGGCCTTATGACACACTTCCGGTGATGGCAGGGGGTGTGGCATATGCTAATGAGTTATGCTAATGAGTTCCCCTAGCTCTTTTTCTACGAAACGACCCCTGCCTGCCACAAATGTTGTTAGTCTTTAAGGTGCTCCTGGACTCTTGCTCTTTTCTACTGCTGCAGGCAGACTAACAGGGCGATCCATCTAGATTTGTCAAAGAGAGTTGCCAACTACGGCTTGGGAGATTCCTGGAGATATGGGGTGGTTCCCAGGGAGGTCAGAGTTTGGGAAAGGGTGGGAACTCAGCAGAGATGTGATACCAAGGAGTCCACCCTCTAAAGCTGAAATTCCCTTAGGGGAATTGATGCCGGTTGTCCGAAGAGCAGCTGTAGTCCAGAGACCTCCAGGCCCCAACTTGAATTTCATAGCTGTAATCAAGAACCCTTCTAAGTAGCTCACGATTTTCTTGAAAACATTGAATGGCAGGCTGGCTGAAAGACACAGCTTTGGAATGTACTCAGGACAACTGTCTTTATTACAGCAGCAAGCCAGTTCACTTGACACACAACATTTTCATCACCCTTAAGTATTAAGCTTTGAATAAGCCATCATAGTTCTAACACCAAAGCCAGAGCCTTTGTATAATACAAAACCCAACACTTTTAAATGGAGTCAGTTTGACATATTGAATTCATCTGTGTTGTCCAGTGTTGTTTGATCACGTGATAGTCACATGTGAACTAGTTCAAGCAAACTAGTAATCAAAGTTCGTAAGAGAATATTTGCTTGTTTTCAGAGATGTGTATACCAAGCCTGTAACTATGAGGAGACCTTTCCTTATATTTGCTCTGCCCTGGGATCGTATGCACGTGTGTGTGCTTCCATGGGACTGATTCTTGGGAACTGGCGGAGCAGCATAGACAACTGCAGTAAGTAGTCCTCAATGACTTTTAAATATACAAAACAGGATATGCTAACTGTACCTACCTAAGCACAGATGGACATTCAGTTTTGACGATCAAAGCCAATTTCCATTGCTCAGTAAAACTTACACACATGCACATGGTCTAGTGTAAAGAGTAGTAGAACTTGTTAAGTATGAGACTTCAGTCAGCTCTTAACAAGTGATTTCAGTTTTATTAGAACACTAGAAACAAGAAACAGAGCAGGGAGCTCTCTTTTAAACTTTCTGGGCTTGTATAACCACGCCCCCTAGTGGGTTAATAACCAATCATAACTCTCGCATAAAGGCCAATGATTGTTGTTCCCTCCAGAGTTTGAGGTGTGGAATGGACTGAAGTCCAATCAGCTTCCATATGCAAAAGACCAGGTTGTCGCAGCAGTTGTGGTGTGGGTGGGACCCGGGCTTTGCCTTCTGATTGGTGGCGATATATGCTGAGGAGCAGTGCCATCAGCCATACACTAAGGGAGTGCATTTTAGAATTAGAACTTTGGCACCCACTATTCAATTATATATAATAAGGAGAGATGACAAACAACAAGAAACAGAGCAGGGAGCTCTCTTTTAAACTTTCTGGGCTTGTATAACCACGCCCCCTAGTGGGTTAATAACCAATCATAACTCTCGCATAAAGGCCAATGATTGTTGTTCCCTCCACAACCTTTCCTAGGCTCTGATGGGTCTACTGAGCAAAGTAGCCAGTTGGAATGTGCAGTTTACGATACCAGCCCTCAGGGAGTCCTGGTTGAAACTTGTTATTTTTCTTATCCCAGAAGGAAGGGTGTAATCTCATATTTATAAATTGAGATTGTTTTGCAGTTTGCTTTTTCAACCTAACGGGCTTGCAAAGTGGCTTACAAACAGTGTAAGCTATAAAATATAACATCTCACATTCAAAACTCTAAAACATCAGAATAATAAAGTAAACAATTACATGCCAGCCAAAAAGAACAGAAGCCCACTATTTTAAACCAATTCCATAGGCCTGCAGAAGCAAACAGTGCTCACCTGTTTCTCAAATGATAGCAATATAGGAGCAAGATGAAAGTTCTGTGACACAGGAGCCACCACAAAAAGGCCCTGCCCTTGTCTTGTTTGGTCACCCACCATACTTCTAATGGTGGGTTACATGGAACAGGGGGCGCAGAGAGGCTGTGTTTGTATAGATGGTAACTTTCCTGTAAGTGCACTGCTCCCGAATTTCATTACTCTCCTGAGGCGATTGCTCAACTATGAATTCTGTGAAAATGAGTGACTGTCAGAACCACTGCAGAGTTGAGCAAGTTTCATTGTCAGAGGCAGGGCTTTTTTTGTAGAAACAGCCCAGCAGAAACTCATTAGCATAATAGGCCACACCCAACATCAGATACTCATTAGCATATTAGGCCACACCCCTGACAGCACAACTCATTAGAATATTAGGTCACACCCCCATGCCTTTCCTTGGCTTGCCCGGGCACCCCGCGGCTGCGGGGAGCCCGGGCTAGCCAGCCCTTGGACATGCCTCCCCAATCCTTCCAGGCCCCCGCCTCAGAGTCACTGGGGGGGTCGCTCTCCAGGCCTTCCCTCTGTAGCCACGCACACAGAGGTTTTGGCTGTACTGGGCGTGGCCAGCTCTGAAGCCAGCCAGAGCTCCATTCCTGTGCGTTCCTGCCCCAAAATAGCCCTGGTCAGAGGACTTTCTGGAGCTCTTCTGACTACTGCACCATCAATAGTCTACCTGGAGGTAGAGCAATAAGAGTTGAGTTCCTATATAGACTTCACCGAACGGCCTGAAATTTATTAATCTCCTGCATGAAAAATATAGCACAGTAGAATGTGCCAAGAGGCAGTGGATCGTTTCTAACCAGCAAAATCTACTTATGTTTTTCTCCCATATACAGCTATCTCTTGTACTGGAAATCAAACATTCAGCTATAGCACTCAGTCCTGTGACAGGACATGCCTGTCTCTCTCCAGCCGAGATTTAGAATGCCACTCCACTGACATCCCTATAGATGGCTGCAATTGTCCAAAAGGGACCTACCTGAACTACAAAAATGAATGTGTCCGTAAATCCCAGTGCCCTTGCTACTTGGAAGACAGACAGATCATTGAGGCTGATCAGTCAGTCGTAATTGGTGGAATTACGTGGTAAGCATCTGTTACCAGAGCCAGTTTGGTGTAGTGTTACCAGAGGCAGTTTGGTGTAGTGGTTAAGTGCGCTGAGTCTAATCTGGGAGAACCAGGTTTGATTCACTTGCACCTGCTGATGTGAACCAGGTTTGATTCACTTGCACCTGCTGATGTGACCTTGGGTCAGTCACAAGCTCTGGCACAGCTGTTCTTGAAAAAGAGCCGTTTCTGTCAAGAGCTCTCTCAGCCCCACCTACCTCACAGGGTGTCTGTTGTGGGGAGGGGAAGGGAAAGGAGTTTGTAAGCCACTCTGAGACTCCCTTGGGTAGTGAAGGGTGGGGTATAAATCCAATCTCTTCTTCTTCTTCTACCTCACAGGGTGTCTGTTGTGGGGAGGGGAAGGGAAAGGAGTTTGTAAGCCGCTCTGAGACTCCTTCGGGTAGTGAAGGGTGGGGTATAAATCCAATCTCTTCTTCTTCTTTTACCTCACAGGGTGTCTGTTGTGAGGAGGGGAAAGGAAAGGAGTTTGTAAGCCACTCTGAGACTCCATTGGGTAGTGAAGGGCAGGGTATAAATCCAATCTCTTCTTCTTCTACTACTACTACTACTACTACTAAACTAATTGTAGCACAGGTTGTATCTTCATACTGGAGTTTCCTTTTTTTAGAACAGAATTTAAATTCTTAATTCTTAAACATTGGAAATGTGAAAGAAAAAAGGAATACTCTTTCTAGCTCTTGCAGGAAAAAGAAAAAAAAAACATGGTGGATCTGTTTCCTGTGGAAATATGCCTTCGGGTTTTTTGTTTTTTTTAATGTCAGGCATCCTTTGAGGGAGTTAAAGTACAGTCCTAGCAGTGCTTGCGTAAAACTATGAAGCAGTGGGAGAGTGTGAAGGTTGGTGTGGTAGGAATGGGTACTAATATATTTTTGGTGCCCAGCCCAGTGCCACTATCCTTACAAGGGTAGCATGTATTGATTCTGGGATTAATTGAGGAGAACTGTCCACACCGTATCAGAATGCCGCTAACTGCGAGGCTACTTTGGACTTTAAAAACTGTTACATCCCCCTTAGGTTTCCCAACCTTTTAAACACTTCGGTAGAGCCTTTTAAAAATTTGCAGGACCTCTGCCTGCTCCCTAGCTTACAAATAACCCTGTAAATCCATGAATGAGAACCACAAAACAGTATGTGCCACACTATGTCATTGCACTGAACATTTCCATTTTTAAAGTGACAGGAAACAGAGCAATATCTCTGACCTGTGTAAGGAAACTCTAAATCTTATCTACTCGAAACGTCAAACAGCTCTTATTTCCTCGGCTCCTCCCCCTCCTTCTCCCTCTGAAGGCTCCAGGGGCCCTGATTGGCTGTTGCTGGCTTTCTCTCTAAAACACCAAAGTATAAAGGAGATTAGCAGATGGACTTGTTTCTGTCCATCACAGAGAGAAGGAATGCTAGTTAGTGGAACAGCATCATATGAAAACAAGGAGGGGGACCCGCGATACTCGTGGGGAGGGGAGACGCTCCACAGGAGGAGAAGGAAGCAGCCGCAGGTGAGCCTTCTCACCTGCCCCCCATCCCCAGCACCCACTGCGAGGCCAGCACATCTCCAAGCCTTTTCCCTCCTCCCCCCCAGCACCGGCGCGAGGCCTGAACTCGGGCTGCCAAGCTTTCTCCCTCCCCCTTTCCCTAGCGGCAGTGGTGAGGTCCGCCCAGCCTGCCAAACTTTTTTCCCCCTCCCCCCCAGCAGCAGCAGTTGCAAAGCCTGAGCTTGGCCCGCCAAACTTTCTCCCTCCCCCCGGGCGGCGGCAAGGGCTGAGCGACTTACAGCTGCCGCTGGCCAAGCCTTCTCCCGCCCCCACCCTCTCTCCCTTTCCCTCCATGGTGGCAGCAGAGGTGAAGCCATTCTCAGAGCGTTCCCTGC